TGAAACCAAAAGGCCCTTCAGATCCCATGACTTTGGTAAAGCTCATGCCAAGAGCTTCAGCTCCAAAGGGGGTGTCTCCAGCCATTCAAGGGGGTGTGGGCAGCATTTCTAATTGAACCCACAGGGTTCTGTTCCCTACACGGGTTAGTCTGTGGCAGTGGAGTCTGTAATTTCCTCAGTTTCTACTTCAGCCAATAAAACTTTCCAAATGCAGACTGGCAGAGCTCCTCAGAAGTCCCTCCAAAAACTAGGCAGTTCTCTCCAGTTTTACCCTAAATTCCATCATTAAAAGGTTGCACAGTGTGACCTGCCACAACGTTTGCTCAAATAGCTCTTGCTTTGGTGATGAAATGCAAATTCTAGAGAGTGTGGGGGAGAATAGGGGAGCAGAGGAGGAGAGGACAGCTGCTTTAGTTCTTGGGCAGAACAGAATCAATGACTGTCAAAGGACAATGTGCCTTTTCTTGAACAAGTTTCTCTTTATTTGATTTAGAATAAGAAAAATAGAAACTGCCCTGGCAAAAAAGGGCAGAAAACTAGGCCCAAGAAGCTGTAGCAAAACAACAGCCTGCTATATTATGCTCTTCTCTTGCTCCCTGTGTGAAAGAACTGTGCTACTGAAGGGATATTGTGAAAGAAAAATGCTCTCCATTTGAGTTGACTTTTTCCATGGGCTTCCCCACAACAGCCAGTTTTCTAACATCTGCTTCATTTTCCTTTCCCCATTGCAGGCAAATATGTGTTTAGAAACAGAAGACGCCGTCCTTCGGTGAGCGGCAAAGTAATCCTGACATTCCTAGCCTTTCAGAATTGTGCAGCAAACCGTGACCTTCGCTTGTTGCAATCGACTGCCAGCCTTCAAGGCTGAAATAAAGTCTTCTTCGGTGTCTTTGCATCAGCAGAAAAGGCTTCCCTGGCTGTTTTTTATTTTTCTCTTGGAGGCCTTTGAAGTAGATGACAGTGTGGTTTTGCAGACAGAAAGTTTCTTGCTGCTTCTAGCCATGGGGGAACAACAGCAGTTCACAACGATATGCACTGCTATCTAATTAGCCCCCTTGAACTTAGCTGGAGCAACTTAGAATCCCCTTGCTATCAAAGGTTATGATTTCTCCTTAGTACAGCTGGAGAGATAGCTGCATAGAAAGAAGGTTCTAAATGATAAGTAACTCCCTGTTGCTCACACTGCTGTCTGTCCACAGAGGAAACTACCTCGAGCTGACCCTCCTCAGGCTCCTTCTCTTCCTTCACTTTCTGAGGATACAGAGGAGGAAGACAACAATGAAACTCCACCTGTTGTTGCACCAGAGCCTGAACAGCCAAACTCTGTAAGAGCCAGCTTTGCCTAGCACTCTCATTACTGTAATTCAGAGCTGCCTGTTTCAGATCAGACAGCACTTACCCCTCATGGCTGAAAATCCTGAGGGCTGGAGTCCTACCATAACAAAGTGTTTCCTCCCCCCCAGCCACTGACACCTGGAAAATGGGTTCTGAACTTTCAAGTTCAGTCATCGTTTTCCTGGCATTCTGACAGGGACCATGAGTTTCTCTCTGTGTGGCATGAGAGGTAGCCTTGTGCCTGTCAATGGGCAGAAATTTGGTCCGCAGTGTCCGTGCAGCCTCCCTGTCACCGGCGGAGTGAGCGCTCCAAAGGCACAGTTCACAGCCTTGCTGCGTGTGGATACCTCGGAGAAACTGTCCCGTGGAGGTCCCTGGCCTCCTCCACGCACTATTTAAGGGGCTAAATGGGCACTTTAAACTACACCCATAACTTTTACATGACCAAAGTTGGGTGAGAAGAGTCTTACGCAGCTTGGCCATGGCAAGAGAAGGTCGGTCTCTGAGAAGGGCTGGAACTTAATGCCTGTTCCCTAAAGCTTGAAATACTGATGAGAAGGATCTCTGCAAGCCTCCTTTCTGACACAAACTGATTTCTTGTCACAGACCAATACATGCTCTGGAACAAAATCTTCCACTGCCCTGGAAGCTGCTGCACTGGAAGCCGCTGAAAAAGACAACACTCCCACACCTGAGATCACCTACATGAGCACTTCCAGCAGTTCCTGCAGCAGCAACAACTGGCAGCAAGAGACGGTAGAGGAGGACAGCCTAGAGAAACTGAGTATGTCTTCTGCATTTCTTGCCTCATAGGGCAGTGCTAATGTTCCTAGACAACAAACACTTGCCTTGCTACCTGTTCTTTTCTGTCTCCTCAGAATGTTTCTCCCTCTTTCTCCCAGTTTCCTGTCAACGTAACTCTTCAAAGGACTGTAGAAAACCAGTCTTTGTGGAAGCCATCTGGACTACAGATCTGCCTCTCTTCTTCTTCTTCTTGTTATTGTTGTTGTTGTTGTTGTTGCTGTTGTTGTTGTTACCCAACTGACTTCAGCTCACAGCCCCAGGCAGAGGAGCTGCAGTTCTGACCTGCTGGAGGCTGGTATCGTCATCCCGAAGTGATCATCTTTCCTTTGGTTTTTTCAGGGAGCATTGTGAGTGTGGGAGATCCTATGAAGAAGTACGTTGAATGGGAAAAAATTGCCAGCGGGTAAGTCTGATCACGGTTCCTTCCACAAAGGCAGGTATTTTGCTGGTGCAAGGTCAGGCAGGAAGTCAGACAGGCTCCAAGCATGTTCAGACACTGCGTTTAGAACTGTGGTCAGATGGCATCCTCATGGGGAAAACAATGGTCAGTGGTCAGGAGTATAACCACATCGTTTAGAAATGGAAAACAGAGATAAAAAAGAAACTCTCTTTTATAGCAGAAGGAGTAAAACCTAATTCCGTAATAGACCCACTGTCAAGGCAGTTGAGAGGAATATACATCCTGATGATGGCAGATGACCTCAAAGGTGGCTGGGGACTGGTTTCCTTACAGGCTGGAGAAAGCCATTTCTAGATCCTTTCCTCAAATGGCCCCTCACATGTGTTCAGGCTTCTCAGAATGGGGTGTTGCCTGAGATTGGCAGAGACCTTCAAAGGAGGGTTCTGAGAACAAAGCAGTTAGAGGTCGGAGCACTCAGCAAGGCCAAATGGAAAAAGAAGGAAATATATTACTTTCCAGTTTTTGTGGACATGCTCCCCCACCTTAGAGAGGGGTCTGAATTAAATTAATCTGGGCAGTACACTTGAGATTTTTTCCAGCCCTTCATGATGCACCCAAGTTTTCTCTTGGATACCCTGCATGGCACAGGGCTGGTAGGCTGCTCTGCTCTTGGCTGAAGCCTACATGGAGCCAGGTGTTTTAGAAACACTCCAGGCAGCAGACATCTCCTGTCTGGGCTGGCTTTCATTCCTTTCTTCACTGCTGTTTTCTTTCTAGTGCCTTCGGAACAGTCTATGCAGCGACCGACACTGCCACAGGAGGAGAGGTAAGTGTCACCATTCCCAGCAGATTTTGCAGTTCTGAAGTGCTTTCAATTCTGGGGCGAGCTCTGGCTAGATCTTTGGGTCCCCAGCACATCTTTCCTGCAAAGGCTGTTCCTCTGAAGCGCAGACTAGTGTCAGCCTACCAAATCCATTTGGGACAGCTCTTTGGGGCTACAGCTTCAGACGTCTGAAATTGCATTTCTGGCTGTCAGCAAATACCTCTGAATCTTCTGGGGAGTTTCTCATCCTCATGCAGTGCTGGGCTTTGGAACTGGGCTTGGATAGAGGTCTAGGAGGGATCAAAAACCCTAAGCCCTGCTCCTAACCTGGAGTATACCCAGAAAACGCCAGAGAGCATGTTCTTTCTTTAACAATCCAGGAAACAATTACAAATCTCCACTGTGTTCAAGAGTGTTCTTTAGAGTTGCCAAATCAAAATTTGGTCTGATCTGGTGCAAGAGACTTCCCAAGTTAATGGTTTTCAATGTCATTTTAGGTGGCCATAAAGCAAGTGTGTCTCCAAAAACAGCTCAAAAAGGAACAAATTGTCGATGAGCTCATTATCATGAGGGACAACAAGCATCCAAATATTGTTAACTATTTAGACAGGTAAGTAGTTCGGGTATGATCATGTGACTGTTCCTTCACAGACTGCAAGCCAAAGGTTAAAAGAAGCCCCTTTGGTCTCTGGCAGAGAAGTCAGCTTTTTAGTATTATTTTTTATCTATTCCTATACAAGGTATGGCAGGAGAGTGCATTTTGTCTGCATTCATCTTTTCTGGCATGCATTGTTTCAAGTCATCCCTATCTTCCTAAAACAACAGCCGGGAAGCTCATTACTTCCAGGTTGATTTTGCTGTTTGTTTGCGGTTTCTTTTTAAGTTAATCATATTTTCTGTCTCTCATGACAACTGATGATAAATCATCATAGAAATTATTTCCCGGCGTTTTTCACTCCCTTGCCATCTGAGACATCTCAGTGTTCACGGATGTGCCTTTCTCACTTAGACTACACAGATTCCAAGGAGTGTATAGCCTAGGAGGAATGTCTCTGCATTTTATTCTGCGTTCATTCCTGAGTCTTCCAAGAACACAAATCAACTTCAGTCTTTTAGGTAGGGTAATTTAGCTAGGCCCCTTCTCCATGCCATTGTTTTCTTCCTTCAGCTACCTGGTTGGAGATAAACTGTGGATAGTGATGGAATACCTAGACGGAGGCTGCTTAAGTGCTCTTGTTAAGGAAGTAAGCATGAGTGAAGGAATGATGGCAGCTGTCTCTCGAGAGGTAAGGGATGCCACTGGTGCTTCCAATTGTTTGGGCAGGCTGGGACTTCTAAACAAGCAGCAAGAACAGGAGTGATTTCATGTTTAGAGCTTTGTTTCCGTGTTGCTTTTCCAATACGGAGAAGAAAGAGCATCTTCAGTGAATGGCCTGCCAGTACAACTCTTGCTGTACCCTCTCTCTTTTTTCTTATTTTATTTACTATTCGCAACTTTGCCAAATCATTTGCCTGGAGCCTGTCCCTACTGCATTCCCTGCCTGTAAGTGCAAACATGCTGGTGGCAGAATTTTATACCAACAGCAAAGAAAAACAGAAACTCATGTGTCACAGTCCTCAGCTGAAAGGCAGAGCATTCCTCCCAAAATGGTGTTGGCATCTGCAAAATTACTAAAATGCTACTTCCAAGTCTGCTCTTCCAGCTGGCAATAAGATCTTGGTCCTGCAGCCTCGCACCCAAAAGCCATCCACTTGATCCCTTCAGGAGAGGGAGTTTCTCTGTTTTGGCAAACCATGATTTACCCTCTGCATGGAGAGAGCCCACGCACTGCAGCAGCAGTCATTTTGTCTCTGTCTGCAGGGGTGTGGCGGGACAACAATTGCCATTTCTCTTTCCAAACCTCCAAAGGGAATGTGCCTTCCCTTAGAAAGTTTACTAGTGAGGAGGCAGCAGCAAGCTCTTCCTCTTGACACCCCCATGGTCTGCCAGTCCTCACCGTTCACCTAGAACTGAAATCTTTAAAGCCATTGCCCTTCTTGGGTGATGAAATTGGGTCATTCATTTTTACTCTCCTGTTTCTTTTTTCTCTCTCAGTGCCTGCAAGCACTGGCGTTCCTCCATTGCCACCAAGTGATCCACAGGGATCTCAAAGGCGATAACATTCTCCTTGGAATGGATGGATCCGTCAAGTTGGGTAGGTGTCCTTGCTCAGCCGTGCTGTTCCCGGCATGCGGCGCATGGGGCTGCTGGACACTGACTGCCAGTTCCCAAAAAGCAATGCCTGTGGCAGTGCAGGGAGCACTGCTACAAGCTGAGAGCACACTTGCAACGTGGAGAGAGGAACAAGGGGTCCTTGGCTACAGCCCTGAGGAAACAGAGCATGGCCGTTTTTCCTGCTACATTCAGCCTCCTCAGGCTTCTAGTGGGCAATTCTTGCACTTGGCTTCATGATTCAGGCTGGCTTTCATGATACTGGCTTTTGTCCTCAGCTGATTTTGGTCTCGCTGCTCGCATCACACTGAGCAGAGCAAACGAAGCTCAGTCGTCGGCACAGCGCATTGGATGGCCCCCGAATATCTCACTAAAGACGAATAC